TGGATTGCCTGGGATATCCTTGCGATGTTGTCGCAGTAAATGGAGACTGTCTCATTTGATACGAAGTCGGTGTACTTTACTCGGAGGATGTTCCTCAAGTGGAAGTAGTCAAATGCCCCAAGTTTCCGTTCTTCTTCCACGCGCATAGCTTAGCACTCGCATCCGTACCGAAGAACAGATGCACGGTACACGCGTACAGTCGTGGTAATAAAGATATCGCGTCCAGTCCATTAGCACTTTCGAAGGCTGGGGACAAATTGTCGAGCTGCGTCAATTCGAAAGACAATGCCATCCTTTCTTTGTCCATTCGGCAGCACACTCGCTCCGAGGTATTTGAAACTGTCTACTTCTTCAAGTCGACAGCTGTTAACCTCGAGGGGTGCCTTCTCTTGGGCAAAGATGCAACATGAGAACATTGGTCTTCCTAGCGTTTATAGACAAACCAACTGAGTTAGCGACCTCTTTCACCCGCGACACTGCATTGCTCCGCTATTTTACATCTATCTGCGGAAGATGTTAACTGCAAAGATTGAATTCGGTTTGGCCGACCATCGTCTAAATATCAAGTAAGCAGATATCTACGGCCATACCAGAAGCACGTATTGTCGATAACTAGCCACTTCTGGTCAACTAGGCGGACTATACACCACTGTCACGAATTTTTGAAAATGTATTTAGTTCCAGTCCTGGTCGCCTCGGGCGGGTCATAGAGAAAGAAGTAGTCTCTAAACTAATCCTTGCAGCCGCGAGTTTAAAGCTCTTATGCTGCGTTGTAAAACAGTGTCGACGTATAATCCAGAAATGGTGGGGACGTTAGTCGCGCGTGAATTGATCGGTCATCGGTTTCCACGTAATCAACTCGTGGTTCGCTTTTTGTATGGAAGCAATCATCGCACCGTGTATACCAGGGGATTTTTGTCGATAGCTGTCAGAGAAATTGAGTTTTACACCCTCAATCTCTATTACCCCGGGAACTTGTGTCGGGATTCGAATAGGCGTGAGACATCCATATTGCGTCGTCAGACTGCGTACTGCCCTCGAAAGTTGACGATATATTAATTCGCCATATTATCTGCACCATTAAACCAGGCTTACCGAGCGCTTGTCCGATTAG